GTAGTTTCCAATTTTCCCTTTAGCTAATGGATCCTTCAGATCTAAATAATATTTATATATATTATATATCGAATCATTAATACGGCAGTGCTTACCATAAAATCTCCGCCTAGGACCTGTACCAAACATTTGGTACATTAGTGTCGGTAACTCAAAAAAGTAAATACCGCCTTCCTCCGAGGACGTACTGTTTACACCAATAATATAAACAATAACACCAAAACTGTACTATCAGCACCGATAAAGCACGGTTAGCATAACATCGCTAGCATCACCAGCTTTTAAAGACTGACCACCGCAATAGTACGTCCTGCGCCAACCATAATTCACTCGCCAATTTTGCCCAATCCGCAACCTGATCGTCCCAGAAATATCGTCCAACCAGCGCATTTTCCCAGCGAGGGGGGGGAGGGGGGAGACAAAATCATTTTTCAACCAGCTACCTGAAGCTCATCCTCCCAGCTCTTTCCTTTTGAGATGACCATTCGACACCCCTGGCAGATTCTCGCCTCAGCAATACCATGCGTTCAGACAGCGAACTATCTGAATGGTTTCAAGCAGACTAGGGTGGTGAAGAGTGATCTGGCCCCGTGCTCCGTATGCACGACCCCAGCTCCGCATTCCATGAGAATTCAGCGCCTGCACGCCGGTCCAAGAGGGTGTGGCGTTGGCAATGCTTCCATACACCGAGTGGTTTTGCGACACCTAGCAATCCATGCGAGACGTACAATGCAGTGATCAAAAGAGATGTCACGCTCCCAAGAAAGCTGAAGGTCGGCGCCCTACTGTCCCAGCTACTTACTCTGTGTCAAAGTGAAGCTGTCACCGCCAGACCATTTGCCGTGTCCCCGGAGCCATATTCTCGGTTGGTTCATCGAGCTCGGGCGATGTCGAGGGCGGGCTTGCTTGAGCTACACTCCCAGGATCGGGACAGTATCGCATTTTTGCTATCTACCACGACTGAGGCCGACCTCTTGGATACAGTCCGTGTAATCAGCAAGCCGTGCCCTACAGTATGAAATTCGCCGACGCAACGTTGAGGACTTACCCGTTACAGCCCGACTGAGCAAATTGTCTGCTGCAATGGTTACGCTTGGTATGCCTTCGCAGGGGTGGCTGATTGACATCAATTCGAGTAAGTGCACTTGTCACTTTTCACTGAATCACGGCTCTTGTGGGCACACACTCTACGCGATGAAATTTTGTGGATCTATGGATCTAAATGGACATCAGACACTTGTCAATCGAGGAGCCTCCGTCCACAAGAAGGTACAGGGCTCCCGTGGGCGCCCCCGCAAAAATGATGCGGCACTCGAGAAGGAGTAATGTCTGCATTGAAGGAGATGTTAAAGCGCCTAACGTCTTTAGTCTATAAATATCAAAGGTTCTTAAGTCATTTACGTTTGTTTATAGCATTTCACATTCACCTTCACTTAATTTCCTTCATTATTGTGTGCGCTAACAGCTTTCCGTTAGCGTCTCCAATACCACTTGTGAGAACAATCCTTAATCAACATTCTCTACCTAATGTCATTTCTTGCAGACATTCCGGGGTGTTAACGGCTCACGATATTTAGTCATTGTGGTGGTATGAGCTCTCGTGCACTCCCAATCATCTTTAACGGCTTAGCTTAGTCAGGGATGTGGAATAACTTACCAATCGTCACTACCGCGTCTTAAATTCGTAAGACGGGTCATTGCGTGGACCCACCTCAGCTTTCACCTACTTAACTCTTTTAAAAAAATACAGCTAAGCATTCCGTCAGAAACAAGCACCCTTTGCAGAACGCTAAACGTATCATACGTGATCGGGGCTGCGAGCTAAATTAAAATTTAAGTGATAATATTAACGCTAAATGCGAGCTACGCAATGACTTCTTTTACTCTTTCTTCAATTTTGCTCTTTAAAAAAACCGCTTCAACGTACCTACGAAGTAGTCCAGCAGACGCATCACATCAATGATAGCAGTACTTGTTGGGGCTACTAGATACGTGTATATATTCATGAAGTGAACTAATTGGACACGTTACGAAATGTAAAGATGACTCTAACGTCTTTCGTGAAGGTGTCTTATATTTCTTGGAAAAGAAACTTACATATATTATAGCGCATCTATATGCAGCAGATTCATGATTGTTTTGACGGGGCTGCCACGTCAAGAGATAGAGACGTTGAAGTTGCATACTCTATCACTTCAACGAGCTCTCAAAACAATAAAACACGAAAAGTCCACACCTAAATTTATATGGTCTAGTATCTTCTTTTCCCATAGGCTCTCAATACGGCGCTGAACTTAGGCACGCATACCCTTCACGCGCAGTAAGTCATTCAAGTGGGTTGGCGCTTCGGGAAGTCGTTCTTGTTTGCGAAAGCGTGTCACAACGCTAGAGACTTCCCGAAAGACTAACGCAGGAGCCTCGCTGCTGACCGCATCGCTCCATGAAAGCCAACCGTCAACGTAGCGGTTAGCGTAAACAGGAATCTTGGCTACGATGCGCGGAATCTAAACTTTGCTGCCTCCATTTTCTCCATAATTCGCAAGATCACACAGCTCGTTGATAAAATTCACCATTTTGTCACCAAAACACCGCACACTATCGTAGCCTAGAACACCGTGGACTAGGTATTCGGCAATCGCCACCTCCGGGCGTGTCGATGCGCGCTCTGCGGTCCCGGAGGTCCTCTTGAGGCCTTCTGGCCACGCAAGAAGCTTTTGCTAAGGCGGTCTTGCTCTGAGAATTAGATTTGGGATAGAGCATACTACAGTCGTTTGCACAACACATTACATTATTTTGTCTCAAACAGTAGGCCGATGTGTGCGGCAGAAAAGCATCGGGAGTCGATGGGAAGAATATCGCTCATGTTTTGCACTGGTGCTCCTGCTAATTATGAAGTGCTGACAAAACAAATGCTGGTATTTCTGGTATTTCCTCCCTTCCTCCGCTTTTTACTGACAGTCATGTTTGGCTACATTTTGATAGGAAAATTGGGTATAAACAGTAATGTCTGCTGCGCGTCGCAAATCATAAAACGTACGTGAACTAATTGAGCAGCTCTCGCAGAGCGGACTGCTTTCAACTGTGTCGTGCTCGTCGCCAACAGCACCAATTCTACCGTCTACAAGGCTAAGACTAGCTAGTTTAGCGATCATCTCACTTGCTACCACGTCTATTGTACTGGCGAGATGAAATGCACCACCAAACTTTGCCCCTTCACAACTTCTCACCCAATTACCCAAATTTATGAGTTTTTTTTTGTTGGAAAGATAACGGTTTCTTCTTTTAAGCAGTCATAACCATCCTAGAATATCTGCTCAAATTCAAATGCTACACTTAAGCGAAAAGTGCGTGTCTTTCGTTCTGCCCAAAAAATCAAGGCTATGTTCATGACATACTGAATGTCATCAGATGTTTTGGTCCATTCAAAAAATGATTGTTACAATCAACAATGCCCTTTCTACTCATTTCAATGCACATTTCGTCCAAGGAAGTGGGGTTGTCGATGATGCGTTATCAAAACATGCAGCCATCCCTACGCAGCTCCTGTAGCTAAAACTAAGCTCTGCAGATGCGCTGCAGTCCAAGCTGTGCTCTGGCGTAAAGCTTGTCACTTTAGGCTTTCCCGTTTATTAAATATCGCGAGATAGGTTCTGTGCATACATGATCAGCATCAATTCCCTGCGGACGTTTGAGCTTCCACCATAATAATAAAAAAACTAAAAGGTCAAAATGTGCTTGTCTGTGATCTTTTTGCTACCCTGTTTCCGTTGCGGGTCTCTCGACACCAATCCGATAATTAGTTATGTATTTATGGGCAAAATAAAAAAGGGTGGTGCATTTCATCTCGCCAGTACAATACTTCTTCCATGGCGAGTCCGGTTTCTTTGTAGCCCGCTTTTACAGTCTCCTCACTTAGCTCCGCCCACGCAAGATCGATCCAGCTGTTCGTGCGCATGCTCATCTAGGCCGCTATAGAATGCTTTCATTACGGCAGAGATATCACCACACTGTTCCCATGCATCCAGGACTGCCAGCTTTTCCGCTGCTGTGATGTCGGTGCGCCTGCCAGTGTTGGCACCAAAGACTTTTTATTTTGGCCAACTTTGGGCCGAAACTTACTTTTGCCACTGGCTTTTTCGGCCATACGGCCAAGGCTAGGCCTGGCCTATTCTACCGTACTTCAGTCAGTCAAGAGGGGAGAAGGATGGCACATAGGGCGGCCACCATACCAGGATGCAAGACGCTTTAAGCCTCTTCCAGATCTGGGGAAGGCTCCAGGGGGCTACAGCATTCGAGAATGTAGATTCTGTAGGGCTGCTTACGAGAACGAAGTCACTGGCACTCCGCCAAAGGTATTAATTGGACGGTCACGCAACTACGTCAATCATCTTGCCAGATGCACGCACTTTTAGAACGCGCAGCTCCCTCCGGTTTTGACTCCAGTACTCTCGACCCCAGCAGCACCGCACCAGGAAAGTCCTGCACTGTCGTTCGAAGTCACGCCACAATTGAGACCTGGTTCTTTTGGTACAAAATCACGCCGAGATGACGCAGTTCCTGTTCGATCGAGTGCTCGAATCGCAGGGCAATCTCGTGCTCGTCGTACACTCGCGTTCGGCAAATACTCTACCACCGCGCGACGCTTCTCCCCTCGTGGCAAAAAAACACCCTCGGCAAAAAACTGAAGAAGCAAAGACGCAAATTCGCAAGCAGTGAGGTCAAGGAAATTAAGTGCTGTATTATCGAAGTGCATGCTAAAAAATACCTCCCTGATCGCTTCGTCGAAAAAACTTCAGTTCGCCGTCTTTTTGAGTTGCTATGTCCCGGCATTTCGGTCATTTTGCCCTCTCGTCGGACGCTAGGTAAGCGTATCCGGCAAGAACATGCTCATCGATGCAAAACAATGGATATGAAAGCTCTCAAGGAGATGATGGAAACGACAGAAGGCTGAGTTGATTTGCTTTCCGATGTCTGGCAAAACATCAGTAAGGACCATTTTTATGGGATGCCAGCTGTCGCTGTTTGGCGTGCTGCTCACGTATGGCCTCCTACCGGCTGGAGATGAACACCACGGCATCGCTATTGCCAAACAGCTGGAGCAAGTACTGGAGCAAGCGCAAGAAGAGAATTGGCGCTTTGGTGCAATCATCACCGACAACGCTGGGCAGTGCGGCCGCGCACGTCGAATATTAGCGCTTCGCTGGCCTAACATTGTTTTATTTTTATTTTGTTTCGCGCACTTGAATAATTTGGTCAAAGCCGTGTTACGGTCTTCGTTTAAGGACGTGGAAGCCCGAGCAGCAACATCAGTGAATCTTTTGAATGCATCATCTAGCAAATGGCTACCACGTGCACGACGGATGATGAAGAAATGTTACGGGAAAGCACTGGGACTTCGTACACTTTGTGAAACAAGATGGAATTCAATGCAAGGATGTTTTGCATCTCTGTTGCGCGCTCAATCGGCTCTGCAAATGTTCTTTTGTCGTTACAAAAGCTACACCGACTTCCCGACCCGGTTGCAAGCCTTCGGCGATCATCTGTTTTGGGATGAGCTTAAAGAAGCTGAAGCTGTAATTGCACCACTATCGTACGCGTCCTATCGGCTACAGCGCGATGAAAATACGCTTGGTGACGTTGTTTTGTCATTTCGCGATATCCGCAGAGGTTTTCAGGAGCATTTTGTTCGCTACAGTGCGCTTGTAGAGTGCGTCGAAACCCGTTGCGCAGTGTGAGCAACCCTTGTCCATGTTGGGTTTTGCATTTCACCCGCCGTATGCTGAAACCGCGCGAGAACTTCCCAATACTGCTGTGTCTGGAATTGGAGCATTGGACAAGGCAGTCGTGTACTACTACCGTCGGCTTTTTAGCACTGATGATATCGGCCAGATAAGGCGCGACATGGTGGCATGGATGAAAGGCCGATTTACAAGACAGAAGGCTAGTGAGTTCGAAAGGTCTCCATGGGAGTTCTAAGAGCGTTGGAATGCAACGCCCCAAGAGCATTTTGCCATAGCTCGCGATGCGGGTTTATGTCGATCGCCGTGAACACAGCGACGTGTGAGCGCCTATTTAGCGAACTTGGAGCTATTCACACTGCCAAACGTAATCGCATGGATGCGCTTAAGGCTCTTGATTTTCAGATCATAGCACAGCATGTCCGACAGCAAGCGTTGAAGCAAGAGGCTCGTGATATAAAAAAAACTCATCATATCTGCGGATGAGAGACAAATAATTAGTGATGTTGTAAGCAGCGCAAGCTTGGTTTCTCCATCACCTCAGCATGGAGCAATATATGAAGACGAAGATAGCGATGATGAAGACCCTGGCGACAACGTTGATGGCAACCCGACTCTTTTGATGTGGGGTGAATATCTAGATGAAGTATTTGAGGATGACGAAATTGATGCAGACTACACCGCAACTAGAAGCACATACATGCCAACCAGCGGGGCGACTGCGTCAAGAACGTCCGATGAAGAGTATTTGGATGACGAGAGCATCAACGAGCTCAAGGAAGTTGCGGAGGCTGTCAAGCCAAACTTTCCTGACCATAAGGATCGCAATTTTCCACAATAAGCCTTAGTCCTTCAGGGATTCCGTGGTCAAAAGGCAGCGCTAGCAGATCTTTTCGGGTAAATGGGTGTTTAAGACGAACGAAACGCTGCCATGGCATAATGTGTTGAGCAAGTCGGTCTAGTAGTAACTGTATCCTTGCCGTTAAAAGGAAATCACACAAGTAGATACCATCTTGAACTCACTGAATTCTACTAGCTCAATTAAATTAATCCATTAGAAGCCTAACATGCTGCAACAGCAGCACATCACCATGAAGGACGCTAGAGCCACGTCTTCTACGTAGAACTGGTTTCATCTATGCTGTACACATTAACATTGTTTCCAGCAACGTTGAAGTTGGCCACCACCACCTTCCGGAGGCAATCCATTATTCCCGTGTATGGACCCCTTCGTTTCCAATCCGCTCTAGATCACATCTGCGTGTGTGCCGATCACAGCACCTCCAGCTCCTGTAGTTGGTCCAGCCAAAACAATTGGCAGCACTGAGGTCTTGCCCGTAGGCTTGTCGGCCCGTGCATCGCGAAGTGTAGCGTAGGAAGGGAAGATCAGCAAGGTGTACGGGACATCTTGTAGAAAGCAGAATTGGGCGCATTGGTACACAATACTCGGACACTTAAACCCCAAGAGTTTTCCATCACCTCTTGCCGTTCCGCCACATGCAGCGACGTCTGCATCTGCAATCGGATCTTGACAATGTGAACCTGCAACACCAAAGCAAAGTTTCAGCTACTAGAACATTTAGAAGCGTGCAAGGGTTTCAAGTACGTACTGGTAGAGGAGTACTTGGTGCCGCTGCTGCAGGCGTTCCCGGTATTCTTGTCGGTGACCGTGCTGCCGTTTTGCGTAGCTCAGCGCGCTGTGTTCGATCGCGAGCCCACCAACAGCTCGATTAACGTGGCGGCCTACGTGCGCGCCAACTTCCTGGCGGCTCTTCCGGGCCTTTATCGAGCTATCCTGTCGCCCAGATATCTCGCCCGACGAGCGCGCGTCTTTGCCGTCACTTCAGTTCTTGCGATGATAATACTGCACGTGATTACTTAATACATGGGTAATTAGATAAATAACTATGATTTAAGTTATGGCCTTAAAGTCCTTCCGCCAAGGCTTTTGCCCTTTCGGCTGGCCTGGGAAGTAAGGGACTTTGCCAACACTGCGCCGGTAGGAGAGAATGCGTCCTACTAGGTGTCCTAAAGTGTCCTATTGTCCTAAAACCTGGGATAAAAAACTAGCAATCGGTTCATAAACGATCCAATATTTAGGACACCACAATGTGCTTTAGGACGAAACAAGCCAGGCTCCGTGTGTCCTAATAGGACACTCAACAACTCGACACCTATTAGGACACACAGCAACTCAGACCACTGTCCTATTAGGACAACATCAAACCCAACGTGCACTGTCCTATTAGGACAACGTTACTAGTTTTCTACTGTCTTATCAATATAATTCAATTATTCATGTATAATTCACAAGAGCAATTACACATGGGAATATTGTATTAGTAGGTTCTATCTGCATCTACTCAAACCTTTTGTAGTCTTCAGGAATCTCCAGTGTCGCTGGTGGGGCATGCTGAGGGTATCAGACCCAAATCAGGGTGCCCAAAACCGATCATGCGATGGATTCCGGTGGTCGTCTGTGTGGGGTACGCCACACTAAACTGTAGAAAGGACCTGGGGTCCTTGTCGCTTACACAGCGTACTGATTGAGAAAGTATGGCCTCGTACACATCACCGCCCATACACTCCTTGCGTGTCTGCTTCACTATAGAGACGGCAGGTGCGCATGGAATGATAGTGAGCGTGGCGTCGTCGGCAGCATGGCGGCGCTTGATCCCGTCGTACACCTCTTGCCAGACAACTGGTGGAGGGGTAGCCATGTTGCTGACGCTGCGTCGCTGTAGCTCTAGGCGCATTTCACTGCGCACATCAATGACTTGTGGCACCGCCTCGTCGCACGTATGTAGAACCCCGTCTGCTACAACTGCACCTGATCGGACAGTTATCTTAGCCTTGCATCCTTTGCGGAACCGCTTGCAGACGTAGTAAACCGTGCTTGTTTCAGGACACGAGCGCTTGATGCAGAAGCAGTAGCCGCGATGGTCCATGGTGCTTAGCTGCCGTGGTGGAGATTGATAAATGGTTGGTAGTGTGCCTTAGGACAGTAAGTAACGCTTATGTGTGTATTAAGTAACGCTTATGTAATTTTAAGTAGAAGGTCCAGAAGAAAGTTAATATTTGAGTTTTAGGACAATATGGAGGACACAAATTATAATATTCTGTAGCGAAGGATTAGTCGCTTTTTAGGACACATCTCCAAAATCTCCCTGTAAAATTTAGGACAAATAGGACACTTTAGGACGTGTCTTAGGACGCATTATCCTACACCACTGCGCCTGCGTGTTGGTTGCATCCCGTGGATTGGGAAATGTCAGGTGCCTAGTTTATTTTTGTGTTGTCAGTAACAAGTAAAGGATTTCGATAAAGTGATTCGATTGGCTATAATTGAGTGTCAGTAATAAGTGATCGTCAGTAAAAAGCGGAGGAAGCCGGTACCAATCTAGACAGCATTTGTTGTATCCACAGTAAGAAAGTAGAGGGCGCTGTGCGGTTGAGTGAGCGTGGAGCGGTCGTGGAGAGGGTGGAAGTGCGGGTGGCGGGTGTGAGTCGACGGCAGCGGCGACAGGGATAACGTTCAGGCTGACGTTCTGGCGCGTTGCTAATGGCAGCCGCGAGCTCTGCGTTGCTGAGCGGCGCTCGATTGGTGGTGCTGGCTTTGGATTGAACACCTGCGCTGCCGAGAGGTGCTCGGGTGGGTGTGGACAGCGTGTGTTGGTGTAACAACAGGTAGCAATGTATTCAACTTGGTAGTCAGTTAGGTTCCACGTTTGATGATGCTAGATGAACGCATCTTTGCTGAATTTGCACGTTTTTAACGTCAATATCACTTTCTCATTTCCTCATTTACTACAGGTTAACAGCCGCCAGTTTCTGCACTGAGAGGTTTCCCAAACCATGTCCTCAACCAACGGGTCTGATGCAGGACGCAGAGAGGTAGGGAACAAGCTGAATCCAAACCAAGGCGAACAAGCTGGAGGGGCGGTCCAGAGAATTGACAGCGCAGCGATTGTGGCGGGCTCAAACCGTTCAAACATTGGCCTCAAGATGATCACAGTAAAAAAATTTGACGGTCCGACCAGAAATGGCTACCTCAACTCAGGCGCTTACGATTGGTTGGAACGCCTCAAGGTACAGATCAACCTCGCCGAGAGACTGACAGAACGCAAAGGACCAGAGAAGGTGAAGTATGGTGTTCTTGCTTCTCAGCTTACGGGGAAAGCCGGCATTTGATACTATCGCAATAGTGTAAAGCTACCTCAGGCATCGCTTCGGGATTTTTCCAGCCCCTTTCTCAGCAATTTTGCTGTAAGCGGCCTGTGAACTTCACAGTGTGAAGACTGTTGCCGTCAAACTTGCAGAAACACGCAGCTTTCCAACCGAGCCGTATGCTGAGTACGCGCATAATCTGTCCCAGATTGCGACTGGGTTGAACCAAGGCAAGGCTAGCAACTATACTGAGCAGCAAGCACCAAGCACGCTCGTTAACTACGCGCACCCACTATTAAAAACGGACCTGGAAGCTATGCTCGATCCAAAGATGGAAGATACAACATTTAAACTGGACGGTGCCGCTGTGCTACTCACCCGTTTGGCAAAGAGTGACGGAAGAATGAGCACAATCAAGCGGCATCATAATGATGATGAAATGCAATCGAGAGCGGGAAGAAGCCTCGACGTGGTGTTGCTCTAGCTGCCACTGATAGAACCAGCGAAGCCGATGGGACTTCTCAGTTGCGCGCTGCAAAGTCTACAATAAAAGAGGTCACACAACAGATTACCATGATTGCCATGTTGCTCTTTACCGCCATAAGGTATGTGTGTAAGCTAAGCAGGAGCACCAGGATGAATGAAAGAACGGGGTGCTGACGGACACCGTGACATTTCCGTTTGAACCAGGAGCTGGTGGATCTTCACGCTTCTTAGACTCCGGAGCCTCAAACCACATGACTGGAGACTCAACGCCGCTAGTGGACATTACCACATGTGAGCCCCACGAAGTCGAATTACCTGATGGACACATTGTTATTGGAGACTCTTGAAGCTGACTATTAGTGCTCGGTACTACCAGTGAAAGAATCCATAAAGTTGTCTATATTCCAGGTCTAGCAAAAACAATACTCTCAGCATCCATGCTTACTCCATCTGGATACAAGTGTGATTTCAGAGCGTCGGATTGCGTTTTCGACGGCACCAGTATCTTACAAGAGCAATTAACAAGTGTAGTCTATACTCATCCTGTCCGAGGCCACACCAGGCTCAAACATTAATAGCGGGTGTGCAGCCGTGGCTACCAATGCAGTGACTCCTCGAGGACACGAGATCGCGACATCAAATTCACTCGAGGACTGGCACCGCCGTCTGAGACAGCTGCGCTACCAAGCTATCGTTGACCTTGAGAAAGGTAGACTGGTCAGCGGCCTCCACATTACCGGTACTCACTGCACAGCCATGTGAAACTTGTGCTCTTGGGAAGACCACAAGTCGTGCAGCACCGAAGAAGATCCACCAAACTCAAGCCGAAAAGGATCTAGCCGGAAAATACCAACACAGTAGTAATGGAAACCACTATATGTCCGTGTTGGAGTGGCTGGGGTGCAATCGTGTGCACTTTAGCCAGCGAGGTGTACATGACGACCAACTAAAAGGGTACTTTGTCTGCATTCGAGAAGAGGGTGCTCGTTTTGTACACAGCTGTGACGTATAATTCCTTGGGTCGCCGTCCAATATGCCAAGCCAATGATTTCCATAGAGATAAACCCTCTTCACGTAGCCCAACGAGAGGAGCCACCACCACTACAGACGCACAATGCGGGGAAGGAGTGCAGATGCAGCGTCTATCAAAATGGTCGAGGAAAATAACGACACTACCGAGCTTCCTCGCCTTCGACGATTAGAAAGAATAACTAGCCGTAACATCGGAGCCGCCTTCCTGGTGATAAGCAATATATTAAGGTAGCCACTGACATTGGAGGAAGCTAAACGATCTCCAACGTTCTTGACGAACGCTCGATTTTGGGTGCTCTGGCATTTGTCCATAACTGTGCTGTCTATTGAGGCTGTAAACGACAAACTGAAGTCGCCATGTCGTACGACTACTGCTGAGTTCGTTGCATGTGCGATGGGTTATGAAGAAATTGTCTGGGTCAAGATGTTTCTGGCAGCTATCACGCTCTCGAACACAGACGCAAACGTTCCTGTACTAATCGACAGTAAGTCAGCGATACATCGGAGAAAAGCGCGAGTCGACGCCATGCTCCACTTATTCAAGGATGCCCACAGCAGCGGACTAATATCGCTTGAGCATTGCCCAACGACAACGATGCTTGCTGACGAAATGACAAATGCTTTGGGCAAAACGATTTAAAGAACATCGAGCTGCAATTGGTTTCACCACAATTCCAATGCCCACTACGTTGCGGGGAAGTGTTCATGCTACAACAGGTAGCACTGTACCCATCTTGTTGGCCAGTTAGGTTTCACCTTTGATGATGCTAGATCAACGCATCTCAGCTGACTTTGCTCTTCATTAACGTCAATATCACTTCCTGATTACTATCATTTACAGCAGCGTGAAGGGGGGTGTTCCTCCCAGGATGTGCGGCAGTAGCTGCTCAAGACAACGGCGGCGATAATGGAAGGTGGCAGTGAAATGAGGGGGAAGAATAAGGCAGCGACAGCTACAGGAGGCTAAAAAAAACCAGAAGGAGGTCGTGCGGCAGCAGGAGGGGGGTAGTGCGGCGGTTGAGGCATGCGATAGGAGGAGGAGGCGGTTGACGATTGCGTAATGCAAGTGGGGATCGAAATTATGTTTGCGATAGAAGAAATGACAGAGCGATGCATCTAATAGAAACGGCGGCTACCGGCAAAGACGCGTCAAGGACTTGTCGGAATTGGCGAGCGGCACTCCAACCGTTACATGAAGGTGGCGAGCGAGAGGCGTCGAGACAGGGCGGTGGTGGCTTTAGTCCAGCGATACATCGTGTATCGCTAACAAATCATACACGCTGCGTGTATTTTAATATTTTTAAGAAAAGTAATGAAATTTTTCCTTGACGTATGATATCTACATATTCTGCTCTGTGTTGATAGTACCTGCTTCGGAGTAATTAATACCTGAAATTCTTCAGCATGTATCCAGGACAGAGCAATTTCTTTATAATGGTTAAAAAAAGCTTTCTGAAATTTTATACCATAAAATCTAGGAAGAGCTAATCGAGTCTACTGTACTGCAATGATTACACTAATCGAAAAATTGAAAATATGCGTGTGATTCGCTCATATCTTGATATTTGTAAGAAATACACATATTTTTTGTGCCCCTCCGACGGGTGTACTGATGTACCTACCTATGTAAGTAAATCTACCTACTTATGTAATGAAGGACCATTACATTTTATGTCACGGATATAGTGCCCACATTTTTTGCAGCTTCTGATTGATGTTGCTCGGATGTTGACGTCGCAAAATACGATGACAAAGGCGCAAACTTTTGTAGGGGCCTAACACAGTTCTTCAAACTGCAAACTGAATGATAAACGATAAATAGAATCATGTATGGATGGATATCATCACTTATCCGACCTCTCTTACGTTTAATATCAGCATTAACGGCCAATCATGTATTTTAGGATTTATTTAGCCAATCCTATCCGTGAAATGTGTACATCCTGGCCCCATCAAGACGGCAGGGGTAGGCTAGCGTGTACTGAAAGCAGATATATGCGGAGCCAGACCCATTGAGTATTAGCTAATCAGCGAATTAGTCGTCATACTTGGTGACTCTGCAACTCGGTTTCTGCGTTGAGGCAGCTACTGCAGTAACCCCTTTATATTTGTGGTCGTAAGTACGAGACCCAAAGAAAAGATGGCGCGACTTGCGAGATCCGACCAAGTCACTACGACGACCATTCGAAATTCATTGAGAGCTCGCGCTGCCCACTCATCGTCGCGCCACATGTAGTCCCAGAAGCCCATCATATTGAGATCGTAATCTTTCGCGTAGCTAAGTACAATTATGAGCTCTACACCCATGGACGCTACGAGGTCCAGCACGCAATCCAAGACGATACACGCAAAGCGTCTACTAGCCTCGTCATCCATGCAAAACACAGAGTAGACTAGGACAGAAGACCAGCAAGTTACCACGAGCAAGATGACGTAGAATCGATTGAGCAGCGTTCTTGGTAACAGCAAGCTCATGCGGTAAGCTTGGATCGTCTGCAGCGTTGTCTCAATGACTTCTCGAATGGCGAGAATTACATGAAAGTGGACACCGGTGACGCCAAAAACGCCATGGCGATCCACAACCTTAGTGTAGACTTTCGTAAAGCTCTGCAGCACTATTGAGTTCGTTCGATCAGACTTCACTTCGTCGTTTTTACCCTTGACATCGCAAGTAGACCACGGAGTAAAGGCAAGAGATTTCTGCCAAACAGAGCCGCCTAGCATTAACAGGGTGGAAACTGCATGCAACGCAGACAACGTGGCATGTACGACGACGACGACTGTGCGGTGATACGGTTGCGGCATTCCGATCTCGAAGCTCTCGAGGTACGTGTTTAGGTACGCTTCCTGTAGCACCCAGTACGAGTAGCTATACAGCGCAGTGTAGATGCACGCGACCACATGAACGCTGAGAATGATGAGCCACCAGAGAGCGAAACTCCAATACGAGAGTTTGACGACTTCCGTGGGGGTTCAGGTTGAGTCGTGACATGTTTTTCTTAAGGACCCTTCGTCGGTGAACTTGAGCCGTTACTGAAAGCAAACGCCGACCAAATTTGCCGTTTTGGTCCTATTCGTTTGGGTGTGAGTCGCGACTGCTTGCTTTTGGTTCTCTCTGTCTGTTGCACATTAGTTAACTCTTCTGTTACCAACGTCGTAAATTACGACTTTAAAAATTCTACGTCGTAACTTACGACGTAGCTGAAAGCTTTAATGATTCGAGGAAAACGCACGCTTATGTTTATCCAGCTTACTCTAAGCAAATGAAATATAAGATAAATGTGAGAATACACAAAAGGGACAGGCTTAGAGCTTCCGGGAACAGTCATCATTGATGAGTGCTGGGATAAGTGGCGGGAGGTCGAGCTCATTCAAAGATTCTCCCGAAATCCTGCAAGTCGAGTGATGCCACGAATTCGATCCAGCTCGCGAACGAAGCAAGTGGCAGAGGCCCGCTCCGTACACTTCGGCCATCTCTAGCGACAGCTCAAGGCGGTCGGATAAGAGTCGAAGAAGCCGCTGACGAGACTCTGAAACGACTGGAGGTACTTTGTGCCACGTGCTGACGAGAGCGAGCTCGATGAAGGCACGAACTGGTTCACAGGTAACATGGTGACGTGTATTTGGATGGAATGGTATTCTGACTGTAATTTTGAAGGGGAGGATGCCGTCGTTTGCTTTGCGATCGAGTCTAAGCTGATTAACCTGTGCGAGAGTAGCAAGAATGGCAGCGACGGAGGCATTTGCGGTCCCGCTAGCGCGCAGCCAGCTGGATAGTCACTGCAAGGTGAAGATGTCGCTCGCAAGCAACCAGTTCGAAACTCACGGCAAGGTGGCGAGGCCGGTGAAGGCGCTGGTGAACAGTGTGGTGAAGATGCAAGTGAAGGTGGCGGTGACGAGCAAAGTGTGGGGAGCATCACCTGCTAGACGGACGCTTCAGAGGGGGCCGCGAGAGGATGGTTAGTGAGCAACGGAATGCCTCAAACTAAGACGCCATTTCTGCGTCACAAATTGATTGCTCAGTGATGTTATCGGCACCTATATTAGATTCTATATATGAGTCGAGGGACGATCTATCCCAGAACGCAGTGAATCGTGCGTCTGACGTACCACCTGCAGTTGATGAGCCGGACCACGACATCGGCATCGGGGCATTTCAGCGTCTTCTTTCGGAAGCCGAGCCGGACGCACATGTCAGGAGGATGGTCCACCCAAAGCAGCTGAGACCAGCGTGGACGACGAGAATTTTTGAAGGTGGGCGAGAACGCAGATGTCTACGAGAACTTGGAGTCCAGTGGGAGTGACGGTGACGATGAGCTTGAGAGCGAGTGGTCGTCGCTCGTGAATACCCAGATGATGCCGGTATGTCGGATGATGAGGTGGCTCTTGTAGCCAAATAATTTATTGAATCCCTTGGTGGCTAATTGGACATGAATCACATTGACAAGGATGTACTACGGAAACCGGCGCGGGATCCACCATCTTCGACGTATGAGGAAGATCCATCCAACTACTCATGCCACCTTCAGTGACATCCAACTCAAGCTTTTTCACTAACTCCTCAGTTACCCCATTGAGGCTACTGCCGCTGTCAATGAAAATCGTGACGGGTCTCACTTGGGCTTCCGTCCTAAATGCTCGAGCTTCAGCCTCTAGGATCGCACATACTGCGCCCTATATGTACCGGTTTGCTTCCGTACGTTTTGGCTGAGTACAATCTGGAGAAATGTGACCAACCTTGTTACAATTTCTGCACGTAACTGTCTTCTTCCGATCATCGTTCTCGCCCTTCTTCTTTTCGTAGCGCTTGTTGTTCTGCTGTTTCGATTTAGGCGAGCGGTGCCCCGAGTCCGACGATCCTTTTGAAGGTTCGAAGGTGCTCGAGGAGGTTTTGCTGAGTAGTGCGCAAACTCGAAGCAATTTTAATGACTTATTGTAGCGTTGATGAACTCGCTTCTTTGATCTTCTTTGCTGTTTCGTCACGTAATCCGTTTTAAAAAAAGGAACGTTTCTCCAACTCACTGATCGTCAATTCTGTCTGCGACAGTATGTCGTGAAACTCGGAGACATACTCGTGGAAGCCTCGCTCTGTTTGAGACGAAACATCCTCTCGTAAAGATCGTACTTGACGGTTCTGGTCGCAATCACGTGCGCAGTTGTTGCTTAAACAACAACCATGTGGGGCTCATACTCACTCTCTCACATTCGGCTATAAAAGCGCGATACCAGTTCAGCACTGACTTGCCTAAGTTGCTGGCGATTATCGTCACGAAGCCTGACGAATCTGCCTCCATTAGCTCAAGTCTGCTTGCTTAGTACGGCTCAGTGGCAAAGCTCCACAATTCAATGTATTCACCATACTTTCCTTCATACATCGGAGGGTCCTTCTTCTTCTGCTCACCCCTAGCGGCAACGCGATATTCGAATCTCGCACTAGCTTGTTGCATTTGGGCTTGTATTTGCGCTTGCATCTGAGCATGATACTGCTGTTGCTGCTGCGTTATGCATGCTAGTAGTTGCTACATGAACATGGTCTCCGATCCAGCCAAATCTTGAGCAGCATCAGTAGCCGGGGAGGCTAACTGCAGCGGGGCTGCCGTAGATTTAGCGTCAGAGGAAGACGTTCGACTCAAAGAGTCACTAATACTAAATTCCTTATCCAAAGGAACTTACAGCCCAAGACCAGGGCTCAAAGTTAATACCTTAACGTTTTTGCTTCAAAACCAGATGTGTTTTTATTTACTATTATTGCGGCCAAGCCGCTTAGGGGTAATTGTATCTGTTTAACTATCTAGCATAGCTAACCCTAATCAAATGCAGAACGTGTGGCTTTCAGCCAACATACTGAGAGACCTCGTTAACTCTCCAGCTTATGTACTAAGCGTTTGTTAACTCTCCGGGTCCTTCGTACCCCTGTGTGTTCCACACAATGTAACCCCGTTACACTCTCCCCCACTAAGATGAGAACATACCGTTCTCGAAACTTTCCTCAGCGAGGTCACGTCTTGTTAAGACGGCGGGGGTTACTACATCTCACACCAGCGCTGTACAGCTCCGTGAGCTCACAAACGCATACGCATTGTTGATGCCCAACTTCTCGTCGTCGGCCCACGGGCCAATGTTTCATGCTTAGTGCGCATCTTACTCTCAAGTGGTCTCAGACCTACGCTCGCGCTCCGCGCCTACTCCAAGAGCTGCAAACCGCTTAGAGCTATGGGCTTGACTCATTCGGGCCCTCGACAACTGCTTAGCGGTTGAGCACTCGCTTCACAAGCGATAGGTCGGTGGTTCGATCCCACCAGGGCGTAGCCCTCTCGTTCCATGAACGATTGTCCGCGCTTAAACAAGCTTAAGGGCAACACCCTTTAATCTCAATGGTTGAGCGTTGGCTTTCAGAGCCACAGGTCGGTGGTTCGAGCCCACCAAGGTACAGCCCTATCGTTCCATGAACTGCTGCCCATGCTTAAACAAGCTTAGGGCGACATCGTTTTAGCTCAGTGGTCGAGCTTTGGCTTTGGAAGCCACAGGTCGGTGGTTCGATTCCACTCGGGCCCTCTCATATCATGAGTAGTCCGTACTCGAACAAACTTAGGGGCATCGCCCTTATAGCTCAATAGGCCTGGAAAGCCAAAGGCTAATGGCTCGATCCCCGCCCGGGACGCCACTTTCGCTGTTACAGCGCATCCACATCTGGATCATGCTCTTAGAGCAAGTTGTGTCAAAACAACTATGCATCTATCAGGACGCTTGTGCCTGAACCTTGTTCAGCCCAAGACGAAGCACCTGCTTCCTTCGGGGCCATGTTTCTAACACCACAATGTTTTTCCACCTCCTGCTCCCGCTGCGAGCACCGCTCATTCGTACGAGCTGGCAGCTGCAGCCACTGGTCAGAGCCTGAGCTCCACTACTGACCTGTTTGCCCCCTCTCTAGTGGGAGGCACCCTACGCCTGGCGACGCTGTCGCACGCCATGGTGGCGCCTCAGCGCAGGATGTGCTCGGTCGCCTCACTTCCCAATGAAGCACCCGAGGAAAGGCATTTCCTCCGCGCCGAATACGCACTTGTCCAAGTTGGCAAAAACCTTATTAGTGCGCATTCACTCGAGCACCGCTCGATAGTGGTAAATGTGGTTCTCCACGTATGATGTTCCGTGCTCAGCACGACTATGGACGAATGTATCGTCAAAGTACGTTTGAGCGTACGACCGGTGGGGCCTAAACAACTGCATCACAAGACGATTGATCGTTGCTGGTGCGTTCGACAGCCCCTGGGGCATGACCAGCCACTCCCAGAGCATACCGCTCGGAGTACTCACCGCTGTCAGCGGAATGTTGCTCGCTCTCATGAGCAATTGGCAGTAACCATCGACTAAGCCGAGCGCGCTGTACAACGTACAACCTACCACGTTGTTCTGCAGAACATCCTTGCGAGGAGTCGGCGTTTGCGTCGGGATATTGGCCACATTTAGCTTGTTAAAAGCATGAACAATGCGCCACTTGCCGTTCGGCTTTCTGACACAGAACGTGGGTGTCGAATGCGGAGACTTACTCTAACGCACCATCCCTGCCCCGTGCTTTGCACGGAAGAATGCGTCAATGACGTGACACTGCTCTCTCGGCAAAGGCCATTTCCTTGTCACGCAGTATTTGGTTCCAGGAACCAGGTCAATCTCAAGACACACGCTTCGATCCGGAGGCCCATCGGTGGGCTTTTCGAAACAACGTCTCCATACTCCTTCACCACAGGATAGAAGGGATCCGAAGGCTCTTTTAGGACCGCCGATCCACTTCTTGCGCTCAGCGCCTTCTTGGTGTCCTCTAGTACCGCGTCGTCCACGGATGAGGGGTTCAACTCCTCCTCAGGTCCTAGCAGGACCACCTCGGCTAGCGCGCCTGCCTTCAAGGATTCGCCAAACTCGGCGATGGACACATCGTCCAGCACTAGCAGAGCATCTGCAGCGGGTAGAGTGTCAAGGCTAATGTCGCCTTCGAACTCCCCCCGTCACTCCGTTCACGAGTGTGTACAGCTGTTCACAGCAATCACGTGGAGCTTCACCGCTCGTCAAGTTGGACACCTCTTCCGACGTCGGAGACGTCACAGACGCCCTGCGTCTTCTCCTCCTCTTCCTCCGTGACCGAGACCGGCCGGCCGAGGGCGGTGTGGCGACATCTCCATCATCACCACCGGTTGCAGCAGCACTTTCACTCCTCGCAGAGGATACAGTGTCTCGCAAGACACTCGGCTGAGAGCCAAGAGGTCCTTGACCCTCACGCAGTGAGCTAGATGTTGCTTCACCTGCATCTCCTGGGCCGCGCCCATGATGCCTCGACTCGCGGCGATCGCGACCCTCGGACCACGCAGCGGTAGATCATCAACCAGATCCGTACCACCCAATGGATTACGCGCCACTCCGCGTTCGTCCTCACCATGACCCAGCAGTTGGTTATTGACCTGACCTGCACCGCTCTGCGGATAACGTGCCGCACCACGTACGCCCTCAGGGCAAACGGCAACCTCGTTGCTAACAATTTCGGACGTACCAATGTCCTGCACTACGACCGCCTCGGCCTCATGCTCGCGCCAAAAGCGCTTCTGCTTCCTAGCAGAGGTAAGTTCATGACTCACTAAAGCTCCACTAGGAGCAGGGTGCGACGCACCCAGCGTTTTCGACTTTTAGTCAATCCATGGCTCATGGCATTCCAGCCATGCCATGCCAAGGATGAGGTCATACCTCGCATTCAGGTCTATGACCAAACAGCGTTACACGCTATCGAAGTTCTCAAACTTCACTCCAAGGTCGACAGAGACCTCCGACACAGTTACCAGTGTCCCCGTCGCGAGACGGACAGAGATCGTATCTCTCGTTGGCACTTCCAGTGCCTCAGCATACAGCTGACTCCCTTCAAGAGTTGAGCCACGGGCGTAGTTGACCGAGGCTCCCGAGTCAATCAAGACTCTCCATGGCTTTGCATAGCCCTTTACGTTCGCTTGAACGACCAGCAAGCCCGGCTTGTACACACCCTTCTCGTAAAAGAGCTCAGCTCCCTTCGGGACTGGCCCCATTGCTCTCTACCTTCTCGAGGCACAACAAAACTCAGCTCTTCCCCAGTAGGCCGCCCGCGCCTACTGGGAGTTGCCGTTTCCCGGCGATGACCCGGAGTGTTGGCTCGCCGGAGCCTTGCGCTTCTTGCGCAGAGGGCCATAGGCCCTCAAGTGCTTAGTGCTATTGCACAGAAAGCATCGGCGGATACCGGCGCGCTGCTCCGCAGCAAGAAGCTCCGCTTCTTCGGCATCAGCATAGTTGAGGTCCATCGGCTCCGGACCGCTCGAAGAGCTTGCGCTACCGGCGCTCCAACCAGGTCGAGTCGACCCGAAGTTGTGCTCGGCATTCAAAGCCACATCCACCACCTCTCCGAAAGAGTTAGAGTGTACATGGAACACTTCCGCTCGAGCTGCGCTCACACGAAGTTCCTCCATGAACACGGTCACGCTGACCAGTCCGGACGAGGGCCCGCCGCCATTCCGGCGATAAGAGTTCTCAACTCTTGGACATAGTCCATTAAAGCCTTCTTACCCAGGCGGGTAGCAAGACACTTCGACCGGATACGGTACGCATGATTAGGCGGCGCGAGCACGCGCGAAATATGTTGCTTCAGCTGATTTCAAGTGGGAAATGCAGCGTCAACAGACGTTCCGCACGTTAGTGCCCATTCGCGAGCGCGACCTCCAAGCCCGAAGATAGCCAGCGCCACGCGCTGATGCTCAGACTGGAGCGGGGCTTATCCCATGGCCATCTCGACCTTACGGGCCCAGAGAAGGAGTTTCTCTCCATCCTTCCCCTCGAAGGTTTTTACGCTCACCATGAGCGGTTTCAGTCTCATAGACTCTTCACGCATCATCTACGCCGCCGCCGTTGCGGCGCTTATCTTCTCTTGCACGTGCCCCAACAGCGCGTTCTCGTAGCGGGAGAGCGATTGCAGACTGGCGGTGACCGCCTCTGGACCTTGCGATGCAAGATGAGCCACGCCCTCCGGGCCAAGCAAGGACATACGCTTAGTAAGCACGTCCTGCTGCGCCGGATGCAAATTCGCGAACACGGGGTGTTCCATTCTCGCAGAGGATACTGTCAACCGACTCAGGAGCGGGATTGACTACGATTGCTACCAAGTGCAGCGCGGCTGCCGTATCTATAGCGTCAGAGGAAGACGTTCGACTCAAAGAGTCACTAATACTAAGTCCCTTATCCAAAGGAACTTACGGCCCAAGAAGACCAGGGCTCAAAGTTAATACCTTATTTTTTATGCTTCAAAATGAGAAGTGTTTTTTTTTACTATTATTGCGGCCAAGCCGCCTGGGGGTAAATGTATCTGTTTAACTATCTAGCATAGTTAACCCTAATCAAATGCAGAGCGTGTGGCTTTCAGCCAACGTACTGAGAGACCTTGTTAACTCTCCAACTTATGTACTGAGAGTTTGTTAGCACTCCGGGTACTTCGTACCCCTGTGTGTTCCACACCATGTACCCCCGTTACACTAACTCAGCCGGTGTATTGGCACTGGCCCCTTCACTTGACGCTTGCGATCTTGTGTTTGTTTGCATCGTGGGTTGAGTAGCTTCAGCGTCGCTCGGAGTACTTACACGGCTCTCTTGACGAGGACAAGGGTTCGGCGACGGGCGCTCAGCTGCTCGATTCCTTTTTGAGTCATTACAAACTGGACTTTTCGGCACAAGTCGCTTAGGATACCAGAACACTACGCCAAGAACTGACCATCTACGGAACAAACCCTCGGTGACGGTTGGGATGAGTTCGCGGGAGACTCTGCGACTCTTTGAAGTCACGTTCACCGTCTGACGCAAGGCGCGACCTGTTAAAGATGTTCATGCGACGGTGCATAGTACCGTCGCATGAGCTTGATAGTACTGTCAACGTCCCGACCCTTGACGTCAACTTTTACGCTGGACGTCCTGCTACACCACGCTCTCGACACCCTGCTCATGCGTATATCTGATTGGTTAGCTTTAAAATAAAGATGCCAATCAAATAAAAAAAAACGTTTCGGTCTAGTTGAAGTTGGGCAAAGCCATATTTACCATTGGGATCTAGGAATTTAGTGCCCTAATATCACTTCTACGTTCGGTTGTACATGAAAGAGAAGGAGTGTTTCACGTCCGAGGTCTCGGTTGCTTCGTCCGTCTGCGCCTGGGTGGCGTCGAACTCGCGTACGAGCATCTTGAAGATCCTCGTGCTCTCCTTCTATCCGCAACATGCTGACCTTCCAGCAGCAAGTCAGTGCGAGCTCGCCGCTTGGCCGCTGAAACAGAGTGGGTCGTGGTGCGTACGTTGGAGGCTCACACGGAAGAGAACCTAGCCAGTCTTTGTGGTCTACACGTGACTGGGTCCCCGATTTGCACTTGAAAGCAGCCTAAAATTATTTTCATTTATTGTGCTTTGCGTGTATTTTGGCAAAAATGATTGCCAAAAGTCGGCTCACTATTTCGGTTAGAAATGAAAAATCTCGTCGTCAGCGTGTTACTCACACAGCCAACCTCAAAATC